CCAAGCTCACTGCAGAAATTGTGAAGAACACTTTGCGCAGAAAAAAAGAGAGTGCCGCTGAGGTTTTTTACATTTCCAGTGAAAAGTACGCGCGTACTTTTTAAGGAAATTGAACTTTCAGGGAGATGCAAAACCACTGTGATTTGTGGTATAAAATCAATGACGAACACTGCAAACGTTGAAAACGCGGGTTCGATAAACAACCCGCCGGGATCTTTATCCCGCCATATATGGTATCACAAGAATCCATCCCTGCGACTGAGCAAATTGACATAATCTATCAAATTGTGGACTGAACAGTTTCAATCCCAGCTTAGGTGTGATGCCGACCTCGCGAGCACGCTTCGAGAGCGATCCTGTCGACTTGTCATGAGGAACATTTGGATTTCTCCTCTTAAAGCAGATCAGAGATCAGAAATCCGGAAAAAATTCGGCAAGTGGCCTAAAGTCTTGGACTGAGTCTTGGCCTCTGCATTTTGGGCTGGTGCAATACCAAACATACCGGAAAGCTGGTGTTTTTTTCATTTGGTACTGAGCTGGACCTTGGTGGCTGTCACGCCATCTGCCATGATCTGCCTAATGTTCCGTCCTGATTTGTGTGTCCCCCCTTCGTACACGCCCTAAACAGTCCCCAGATAGGATACAATCATACATTCAAGTAAGGATTGTAATTGGATACAATTGAAACCCAATTGCAACTTTTGGCCAGTGAACCTGTAGTACTTGTAGTGCTTGTAGTATTTGTAGTTCTTGCAATGTAGTACTTGTAATACTTATATTAAGTTGATTGCGTTACATTTTGCATCTCAAATTTTTATCTAAGGAGGATGAGAGAGACGGGAAAGAAACCGAGAACGAGAAAGAGCACGAGGAAGAGAAGGAGAGAAAAAGAGAAAGAGAAAGAACGAAAAAGAGAGAGAGAGAGAGAGAGAGAGAGAGAAAGAGAGAAAGAGATAAAGAGAGACAGAGATACAGAGATAAAGAGAAACAGAAAGAGAAACATAAAGAGAAGGAGAAAGAAAATGAGAGAAAGGGAGAGAGAGAGAGAGAGAAAGAGAACATGTTTTTCTTTCATCTGTTGGTTGCAGGATCATTTCAAGAAAAAATGCTGGTATTCCGAACCCAAGCAACAAACCAAATAAAGTGTTCTGTAGCCACTCATGGTCTAGTTGCTTGAAAATTTGTTCAGGTGTTGTTCTTTGAGAAGGGTTCAGTAAGAGATTGGATCCTTTAGGAAAGGCAAACACACAATATTTTTTACCCGAAAAATGGCATCGTTTTCCTTCCACAGAAACAGACATTTTCTAAAAAAAACAATCTGTCAAAAACATGGCCACAACACAGAAACCAGACAACTAATCAGGGATTCCAAATAATTCGGAAATTTCTAGCCACAATAGTGAACACAACTACTAATCAGCTAATCAGCATCCAACATTAAGGCAACATACCGCAAGTTCCCACAGCTCAGCAGCACCAGACCTTCAGCTCGATTAAAGCGAAGGCATGGTGATGTTTTAATCTTTCGATTTGGTGCTAATGTGGTAAACCACCAGCCTTCAGGATGGTCAACAACATCTAATAACAACCCCTTTTTGGTCAACCTTTGGGATGATTTATGATGGTTCCGGAAGGTTTGGAAGGCGGGTTGGGAGGTAATACCGTTCGCGTTCTTGTTCTGCCCTATGAGATCTTTTCTTCTACTCCTACTTCATGCTACATTATGAAATCTTCTCTTGCGTTTCTACACATTCTTTGATTCTACACTAATTATGCTTCGCTCTGTGATTTTCACTTGTGCGAAAACATACGTACTAATTGATCCTTTGCTATGCAACAAAAACACCACGGCAAGTCATTCCAGGTTCACGCTAGAACTATTGACGCCTGGGGGACTTCTCCTACACGTAACCCCTCTCAAATGTGTGGCGCTGTGGTTTCGGACATGAACCCTTTCCAAATGGGCCAAACTTTCAGCCATTGAATGTACCAAAACACATGGAAAATCCCACACGAAGTTTTTGAATTTATTGGAGTTCAGTCAGAAGAATGGCTCAATAGTAAGATCTTTGCAAAACACAGGACGTGTGGAATTGGACGTCCATCATGTTTCTCCAAATCCGGGTTGGTATGTTTATCCCACCATATATGGTATCACAAGAATCCATCCCTGCGACAGCAAATTGACATAATCTATCAAATTGTGGACTGAACAGTTTCAATCCCAGCTTAGGTGTGATGCCGACCTCACGAGCACGCTTCGAGAGCGATCGTGTCGACTTGTCATACGGAAAATGTTGGATTTCTTCCCTTAAGGGGGTTCGGAAATTCGGAAAGAATTTGGCAAGTGGCCTGAAGTCTCGGATTGAAATGGCTGGCGCCTGCTTTTGTGCTGGTGCCAAGCCTTGTACAGGGTGCTTTATCGTTTGGTGCTGAACTGCGAAGTGGAGCTGTCAGGCGATGAGCCTAGGGGGTGTCCACAGTTCAGCAGCACCAGACTTTCAGCTTCTCGCTGCAAGCGAAGGCATCGTGATTTTTCATTTTTTCGATGTAGTTAATGTAGTTCTAATGTGGTAATTCGATGTAAACCCACCATGTGGGGCGTTGGTAATAACGAATAACCAACTATTTCTGGTCAAACTTGGATGCTTTATGGGGTTTACCGTTACCACATTGCCCATAACATATCATATCCACGTCCTTAGGACTTGGATTCAGTTTGGCAGCTCTCAGTGACACGACCTTGCTCTTGGCATTGCGTCTGAATGTATTTGACGGAAAATTGGCAAAGTCAAAGAGGCGTGTTGCGTCACAGTGGTCAACATTTTTCCCGTTAATTAGTCACGTTAGTCTTGCAATTCTACCATGTATTTGGACAGACCAAATCCGAAAGTGACATGATTGCTGGTAGTCGGCGTGTTCCAGCGTAGATGAAACCAGCAAAAGATATCAAACACGAACTTTGATGCAAAGAATTGATGCCATATTCTCTGGACTCTGTTCCTTTGAGGCCTTTCTAGTTTACTAGAGTTACTAGACCACTTGGAAGTTCCAGCTACAAGGTGGATATATAACTATAGCATACTATAACATACTATAACCATAGTTATATATATATAGTTTTTCTGCGGGTTTTTATTTAACAATGGTTATACCCACCTTATTTTAGTCCTTAAAAAAAACCGCTCGTCAGGCCACTCCGGGCTTCACCGGTTGGCCTGCATAGCTGGGAGGCTCCTTGAAAAAAAAGTGGTTGGTTCTGGTTGGTTTTTAAAGTGGCTATGGATCAATACCTATTTTTATACCAGCTATTTAGGGGGATGAACATTGATGAACATCCATAAATCCCAGCTATGGATCAATGTTCACTAGGTGAAAAAGGGTTTTGACCCATCACCACATAGTTGGTTCTGAAAAAGGGGGCAGTACCATTGCTGTTTATTGATGTTTATTGATGCTTCTTGGGGATGAGATGAGATTATGATAGCCCTGCAACATGGAAAACGAAATGATCAACACACCTTTGCATTGCCATACATGGATGGTAACGAAACATCGGCAAATCGTCAGTTTATTTTGGGTTTACCACGATATTCAAACTGAAATCGAAAGACTTGCGCTGGACATGGCAGGAGCTGCTGCAGAGTTTTCTCAGACTCCACGAAGTTCGGAGGTGAAAACTTGTGGTGAGTTTTCAATGATTTCTATGGCAAAGGACACGCACATGAATAAACCAATCGCATATTATATAGACACGCTCACCGGCTGTGCCTGCACTTTTTGGATTTCGTTCAGTCGGGCTTTCCTGTGGTTTCTTTCAGAATCTACTGTTGGATCGCCAGATTTTGGATGCGAATGCAGTGCGGTGGAGCTGCGTGGCAAGGCTGTTCATTGAGCTCCGTTCCATGGGGCAGCTCTTTTTATCCACTGGTCAGCATTTTCCATGATCTTCCCTATATTTCATATATGAAATGGCCATTTTCCATGGGGTCATCTCCCAATTTTCAGACACCTACTGGATGACATTTCCAACAAGATCAGCATTGATTTTGTCGGAATATCATGGCTTATCAACTTTTCAGAGAGGCTTATCAGGCTACCAGATAAAAGGAGCCATCATGCTGACATTGTGATGGGTCAATACATGCTATGTCAAATCAATCTCCGAAATGGTTCGGGTGTTTCAGCCATTCCTTTGTCTCTAGAGGAAGGGGCAAAAAGATGCGCTGCGTGGCGACTGCCATCAACAACCTGATGGCAACTGTGCACATTGATATATTTCTATCTGGTGGCAATGTAGAGCCATTCCTTGTGGTTCCAACTCTTTACAGAAGTCTTTCTGACCATGATTCCAAAGTCTTGCAGATGCAGTACAACTTGTGTAACCAAGAATCTTTGCCCTTTGCCAAGACATGTTTGGTTTCGACAGCTGATCCAGGCATGTTTCGATACCTGCTCAGACTGCTCTTTGGGATGATGTCGTATGATGTCCGGGTCTCGGCTTTTGCTTGTGATATTTATGGGCGCGGCTGTGATACAAACTATCGTTGACTATCACTAGTTGACTTTCGTTGCTGTTTTCTGTTTCCTAGCGCCAGGGCTAATGTCCTTGCTGCTTTGGTTTGCTCCTGTCTTCTCATGTCTCCTTGAGGGATCTTTTTGCTGTTTGAGCCAGAACCTGAACCACATGTTTCGTCACTGACATCATGTTTTAGCTTGGCCCTCCAGTCTTTAAGCTTTTCTTGTGGCGTCCCCAGAATGCTTGCGACTCTTCTCGCAAGAAAAACGATTCCACTTGTCAATGCTTGTTCGATCCAGTGAGCCATTTCTCTATCTTAAGCGAGGTCATCTCGCTCCAGTGCGTAGGTCGATCCATGTTAAGCCAAGCAGCGAATTCTGTGGTGTTCGTGGCCCTGCCAGGGCAGATGCCAATGGCTGGTTTCGGTGATGCCTTCGGTGTCGTGGGAAATCAGCCGTGCTTCGGCAATGATGGCGTTGCTATGGGGCAGGCCCCAACGGCAGCCACGGCAATGGGTCAGCAGCTTGTGTTTGCATTGGACCATCGACTGCAGCCGGCGCCGCAGCAAGGTGAGAGTCAGGCATCTTATCTGCAATTATCACGACCATTCATCATGAATCACTTGTCATTTGCAGTGAGCCATTTTCAACGTTTTGGATTGGTGCCAAAGCAAGCGGTTTTGCTCGGGAACATCAGCCTGTTCTAAGACTTGTCTAAGCATCAGTCCTAACCTTGAGAAAATTATGGACCACATGGGTAGAAGTGATAGCCAGTGATAGCCAGTGATAGCCTCTTGCTGCTGAGTCACCGCAGACTGTGGCAAAGCCAGCGGCAAGAAGAAAAATGCGCCGAGCTCAGTCTTGGAATGGTCTGGTTGATGCTCAGACAAGAGACATTTTAGACAACTCAGGAACCGAAAAGATTTGGGCTATGAGCTTATCCTGCGCTCTTTTAAAACCCAAAAAACTTGCACTCGTTCTGAAGGTTGAAGCAACCCTCAGATAGGAAACATCCATATAATGTCTTTGCAAGCATAAGGCACAAGGCTAGCATGTCCATTACTTGTTTGCGGCAGGATTAAAAACCAGAAGCTCGGAAAGAAAGCCACTTCCGCAATTGCGGATACTGCATGTTCAGCTTCGCAGGAGGCAGGCACTGCAGTGGCAGAGTCCGGGCAGACGCAGATTTCCAGATGGCGATTGCCAGAGGATCCAACATCCCGTGCCTCAGCTCCATCTGCCTTCATTGCGGCCTTGAACTTGGAACCCCTGCGTTCGAACACAGGACCAAGTCCAGGGCGCCAGCTTCCGCCACCGGCCCCAGCCTTTGCTCCGAAGGCACCACCCAAGACCACCCAGGGTCCACCTGCCAGCCCTCCGTCACCAACTCTTCCAACTCCACAGGCTCCAAAGAAAACCTTCAAGCTGAAGAACGCACCAAAACCAAAGACAGGATCAAAGGGACACAAGGAGAACAACGAGAACCAGAACTTCGAGAAGCTGGTGGCAGAGGCCACTCTGGTCACCAATATCCTCGATGAGATCCCACGAGCGACCCAAGAGAACCAAGTGAAGGAGAAGCTGACTCCACCTGACAAGGTCTACGACAAGAAGCTGATGTTGCGAGTTTGGAGGCTGCAGCGCAGCGAAGTCCATCCTGCAGTGTTGGGCCTGGGTGTTGCTGAGCGCCCTTGGCGTCCAAATCCACGGTCAGCCAACAACAGTGAAATCAGAAGGCCTGAGAGGGATTCACCCGTCCTGGAACAGTCAGAGAAGGCTTATAGAATCACAAAGCCGACTAGCCCAATGGAGGCGTTGGACAGGAATGTCTGTGCTTTGTTGAACAAGATTTGCCCCGAGAACTTGGACACAATTGTGGAAAAATTGGCAAACATTGAGTTGCAGAAGGCAGCAGAGCTTGAGTGTGTCATCAAGGCCATTTTCGGGAAAGCGTTGGTGGAGCCGCACTACTGTGAAACGTATGCAGACATGGTTTTCGCCTTGCAGAAACGCTACCCGGAATTCCCTCCGGAAAATGAAGGGGAAAGGCCTCTCACCTTCACCCGAGTTATGCTCAACACCGTCCAGAATGAGTTCGAAAGTTTGCCAACAACCTTTGAACCTACAGATGATGACAAAGCAAAGTTCCCCGACTCAGAAGACTTGCAGAGGGAGATGAAGAAGAGGAAGGACAAGCACCCTGTCTGCACCAGCAAGGGCGGGCAAGATGGGAGCGCACACAGATGACGTCGCATGAACCAGATATTCATAGAAAAGATAGAAAAGGACTGGGGTTCGTGAGATTCAAACTCCATACATTCTTGACATGCTTGGAACCATTCATACTTGTTTCGTTCGGGACATTCCATACATTTGTGCTTTGCGATTCAATGATTCTGTGCGCGTTTCATCAGCTGAGGATGCTTGCAAACATGAAGTTCATTGGGAACCTCTTTTTGCGCCAGTTGCTATCGATCAAGGTCATTGGACAGGCCACGTCAAGTCACACTGATGTGGCCAGAAGATGGAACTTGGAACTTTGAATTAAGACGGTTCATTGCAGAAAATCGGTATATATGATATTATATATAATATATATATATATGTTTATATACCAAATATTGCCAAATAAGCTACCCGATGCAAGCTTGGAATGCTTGGAAGGTGGTCAAGGGCCTGATCGGCATCAAGGATGGAAATGCACTTCCGAAAGATCACATGATCGAATGTGTTTGTGAGCTGCTGCAAGCAATTGGCTCCACGGTGGACTCCGACCCTTGGTCGGGTTAGGTCCAGTTGTTGAATTCTGCCAGAGGCACTCGTGAGGCCACGATTTGTTAGGATTCGGTTGCAATTCGTTTGATGTGCAGTTGAAGTTGTTGTGACATTTGCGACTTTTCACCGCCACAAGGAAAAAACTCCACAGGGGAAGGCTTTGATGGATGCATATGCTGCGAGACTCAAAGATATCAAGGCTGCTTTCAGCATGAGATGCGCGGCCAAAAATCGTGAGTATGCTGTATGCATGCTATATATGTATGTTGATATTTCATTCATGTATTTCATGACATGTTGTGATGTTTCACAGTATTTCACAGTATTTCAGTCAGCTTTGACATTTGCCAACCTTGGACTTCAGCCGCTATCATCTGAGGAATCCAAGTGTCGCCTCTTGACCAAACCTTTTTCATCCTTTACACATTCGAGTGTTGCTCTTGCGTATTCATATGATTTGTCATTTTGTTTGCAATCTTTGATGAATCACACACTGGAGAGATATGGAGTCAGGATCGAAAACTTGCTCCAGCTTCGCAAGAATAGGTGGCAGTGTCTTGGCTTCAGAGTCCATCACACCTCTGCGTCTGCACAGAGATCGGCGCTCTTTTAAATTTAGGGTCAATGTTTTGAAAGATGCTGAAGGTCTAGAAGATACGGAGTAAAATGTGGGAAATGGTTGCGGCTGAGGATGTTTAATGGTTGAATGGGCCATTTTGGGTAACCAGCCCTTGATGAATGTTACGCACGTTGCTTAAGGCTTCTTGAAGTTGAAGCTCTTGCATTGCCACATCTGCCATTGCTTGATACATTGCTTGCCCTATCATTGCTTCCAGTTCGCCTGGTAGAATCCTGCGCTATCTTTGCTCATGCCCGAGGAAGAAACTCTTCAAGGAGCAGGCCAAGACGAAGGCGGTTGTTCGAGATGAGTTTGATCAAGCTCAGAAAGCTCAACAGAATGGGGGCAGAAAAGGGTCAGATAGTCTCTCGGCAGCCTCTAGACTCTAGACGTCACTAGACATTGCTATTGAATGGGGACACTGTCAATTTGAACATCTTAAGGTGCTTTTCTATTCTAGATCTTGAAAGCAGTCCCTTTCGTAGAGAGGCAACAATTGGCGGTGTGGACTGGGAAGTGCCCACGACACGGGAGGTGATTTCCTGCCCTAGGCGTGTTCTCCTTCCAGACGGCGGGAGCGAGGCCTTCGTACATTGACGCAACTTGGATCAACTCGGACTTGGCACGGCAGATGGCGGTACAACATGGCACAACTGCGTGCCTTTCAGGATCTTTTAGGTCGACAAGTGAACCCAACGAACCCTCCTCTTGGAATACCGAGGCCATCGCAAATCAGAAGGAACGCGCGAAGGCGGATACATGCCCAGAACATGGTAAGTTTGAGAAAGTGAAGAACCTTGGCAACAAAGTAAGGGCAAGGGGGTTGGACTATTTTGGATGGCTCTTCGGTGGTGCAACTCATGCACACCTCAGGAAGATGTGCGAGTACTTTGCAGATGATAAAGACGGGGAGTCTCTCCAGCAAGACTGGGCGAAAGCCGAGCCAAGCGACAAAGAAGCAAAGCAAGGCTGGTTGGCTGGTTGGGGATCAGTTGGCTATGGATCAATACCTATTAATACCATTTTTAGTGGGATGAACATCCATTTACCAGCTATTTTGATGTTCACCAGAACACACTGCCAGTTGTGATGCGCATGGTTTTACCAAAGCATTACAGGCTGTGATTCTCGAAAGCACCATGTCCCGAGGAGTCGAGTGGCTTTTGGAGACGGGGTTTGAGGATGCTTTGCTTCAGAGTAAACGGATTTTCTATCAATTTCAAGCAATTTCTCAAGGTTTCTCGGGCAAAGTTTGCCTTTTCTTTGACAGCGGTATACAGCGGTCATAGTGTTGAGCAGATTTAGCTGCTGAGGACAGCAAGAAGGCTGACATTACGGCGGCAACGCTTGCCGAGCTCATGAAAAGGTGCCTGGTCTCATGGGACACTTTCAAGGAATGCTTCTCAACGTCGCTGTCGGCTTTGCCGGACTTGAAGATCCACGGCCGCACTTGGCAGACTACTTGAGCCGAAGGCAGCGAATTTCTCTTAGAATTCAAATCATTGAAGTTAGAAATTACCGTGGTTTACCCCCTTTTGCGGCCCTTAATGACTCCAAAAAGTTGGAACAGCGTCGTGAATCGCTAATTGGTGGCAGAAGCGACGAGAGCAATTTTCAACCATTCCATTTTGCCATATTTTGATTGCCTTTTTGCTCAGGATGGATGCCCCGAACTGTGACGTCATGGTCCATTGTTTGATTGCGCGCTTGCTGATGTTGGAGAATTTCAACCAGGCACCTTATTGAACTGAAAACTGTGCAAACTGCTGCTTTTTTCAGCCCTAAAAGCCAGAGATTTTCCAGGGGTTACACGGTTACCCCCATTAGGATCACCAAAAAAATCGATGCTTTTCTCAAATACCCTCTGGTAATGACTAACATAGCTATTGAACATGGCCATTTATAGTTGATTTACCCATTGAAAATGGTTAGATGTTTGGAGTTTGGAGCACGAGCCAAACCATGGAATGGGTTAAGGCTGGGAAGCACTAAAAACACTGACTTGAGAATGTTTGAAAACTAAAACATGCCAAGCATATCTAAACAAATCCAAACAAATCTAAGTCTAAGCATGAAAAAAAACTCAGAGTTACCCTGACCTTTAACTTGGATAACTCCGGCAATGCTCCCTAGCTGTGTTGACACTACATGACATTACCTGGCAGAGCCAAGGTTGTACTGAAGCCCATGCAGACTTTTGTCTCCCACAATGAGAACCGGGACCTGGGTTGGAGTTTGATGTGTCTTGGCCGAATTGTTCAGAACATGTTTGCTTCTACAAGCTGAGCCATGCCCCAACGTGACTTTGGATGTCAATTTTTTCCTGGTCATGTATGTGAGCACGTTCGTTTTTTCTTTCGAAACAAAACGACACCCAACAAAACTGATCTAACCTACCAGTGCCAGTCTTTTCTACATTTTTCCATCATTCACACCGGAATGATTCCTACCTCTGTCCATATCCCCAGGCTTGGCATTGTCAAGAAGTTGAAGCATGAGAACGCTCAGGATGTTGTGAGAAAGGCTCTCAACATGAGCAGCTTGGCCGGACTTGCCGTTGACCGCGATTCTGCTTGATAGGCATTGATACAGGCATTGATACAGGCATTGATACAGGCATTGATATAGGCATTGATATAGACATTGATAGAGGCACCAATTGGCAACTGAAGATCACTTGAATTTGATACTTGATGATGCTCCATGATGCTTGATAGACATGCAGGTGCTTCGTATGTGCATTGTGCATACCGATTCCTACAATTGAAGCAGATCTATTCAGCTCTGGCAAGACCCCACAGCAAATTGCTGCCACCAATAATTGTCAATAACATTCAATAAGTATAGTAAACATAATAGTAACCATAACATCAGTATATACATAGTATCTATAGATGTATCTAGTATCTAGTCTTCTGCACTCGGCATCGAACAAGACTCACCTCTCAGGTGAGTTCATCTCCTGTGCTGCAACAGCGAGGAAGACAACTGTTCCAAATGCCAGGAAGCAGTTGCAATCAGCGTAGAAACTGAGGTGGAAATCAGGACGGTTCAGGCGTTACAAAGAACTTCTCCGGGCTCCGGTCTAGCTTGATGCTTAATGCATGGAAATAGTGTGGAAGATCTAGAAGCACCCAGCAACTTAGAAGCTATTATCGAAAGAATGAAATCACATTAAAGCACTGTACCCTTTGCCAAAGTAATGCTTGAACTGAAATGAGTATGCGACACAGTTCGCTTTTGCGACTTTGCGCAGAGGCCAACCATAAACCTTTAGGATCAGATTTGTATAGTTTTGTACAGATGTTGAGATCCTTTGCTCCCAAAACGGGAACATGTTGGTGTAAGATATGGGTCGCCCCAAAGGAAGCAGGGTGCCCACCTTGAAGCAAGCGAGGGCAATGAGGGCACGCAAGTGCCGGACAGAATTGCCATCAGCTTCAGCTTCATCCCATGGCGTCGTCAAGGGATCTATCCAAAGCTACATTTACACACACAGCTCTATACAGTCTATGCAATATATGTATATATATATAGATATATATATATATAGACATAATACTTTACAATATGTCATGGTATGATGCAATAACATTTTGTAGACACATACATGAACAAGTCCGTACACATTCCTTACTCATGCGTAATTGCAGATTTGATTCAGTTGTTTTTCGCCAAGAAGTGGAGGGCTGGAAGATCCACGGCGATGGCTCGCTGTTTTTGCTTGCATGATTCGTGACGCGACTACCCGCAAGCCACCTGCAGCTTTCGGAAGGCTTTACCGCCTGCCCAGATGACTTTGCCAGTGCGCCCACATGGCGGTGCCAAAAAAAGGGCCAGGTCATGCGAGGTCGGTGACTTCAGTGGAAAGTTGGTTTAGCCCCAAGAGCTTTCTCAAAGATTTGCAGTTGAGAGTTGAGAGCCTGACAAAGTTTGTGTTTAGCCTGTTTCTAGTTCTTCCAGGGTGACTTGCCAAAGTTTGCCAAAAACCTCACCTTTTGGTTCAGGTATCCCGTGGTATCCCGTGGTATCCCTAAGCCACCCAGATCGCACACATCCTGCAGGCCTCGGAGCGTCAAGTGTGGCCTAGCCGCCTAGCCGGCCCGAACCCGACGGATGCCCATTACAGAGGGATTTTATTTCTTCGGCAGCAAACTCTGTTGGATGTTACAAGTAAGTTCCGAAATATCTGACTTTACAGCCAGAAAAGGATGGTGGCGTTTCCACTGTAATTTGCCGTGCTTTTTCGTTGTTGTGTGCTTTGCTAAAGAATTGCTCTGGGACTGGATTCGTGAGATTTCTTCTCATGCAGCCAATTGCAAATCTGAACGTCATAGTATTGAAAATTTATGGCTTTGGGGATACCCCAGGTTGATCAACCCCTATGTTAGATTCAACTGGTCGTCTTTCGCTCTTCCCAAGAGATTGCCACTTCACGCCGCTTCGCCAGCGCTTCTTGAGGAGAAAGTCGTCGCGTTGGCATCGTGCGGTGAACCTCTGGTGTCTTGTCAAGTGATGCAACCTTCGGTTCAACCCTTGTTTGGTGGCAGATCGATCTTCAAGTGCTAAGACCGGATTGAGCCTTGAAAAGTCTAGTAAGTAAACTGCATTGGGCTTTGCAAGTGCCAGAGAATCAGCACAGAGACTTGAGAGCTGCAGAGAAATCTCAGGCCAGAAGTTTTCTTGATGTCCTCTGGCTGCATCAAGCGCTGGGTGGACTTACAGATGAAGCTGTTGAAGTTGGATTGCTTGAATTATTGAACAAGTGGGCCCTTCTTTCACTTGAGATGAGACACTTGACATTAGCGTGCATACATTTAGAATCATTTAGAAATGTTCAGAATCTTTGAGGACATGGCATTTTGATTTATTGTTGAGAGATGGTGAGATTCAATTCATTGGACGGTCTGTTTTTGCTGCACTGAGCGCAGCCGCACAAACAGCTCCTTGCACATCTGAGCACGACAAGAACTTCCCGACCTACTGGTTTGATTCCCCTCGCAGGCTTGGTTTTATTTTCTCAGATTTGGCTCAGCCAAGGCGGGACTGCTCCAGAAGCTGTGGCAGCCACGGAACTTTCCTGATGACCATAGCTTGTCGGAAGCCTAGATGTGAGACATACTGTTGACTCCACCAGTCCAAGGGGATGTTTTGCCATGCTTTAGATTCACTTTCGTCAGGGCGCTCACATGAGATGCAGTCCCACTATGTCCCATTGGCTTGTCCCCCAATTGCCCACCCGCTTTTCTCCCACGGTACTGGCCTCTCGCCTTTGGTGGTGATTTTGATTTCAACTACTAGCCTCCAACCTTCCAAACCTGTCCAAAAGATCCCAAAAGACTTTTCGGTGTCCTGCTACTGGATGCTGAAGTTTTCCACTCATTTGATCAAAAAATGCAGTGCCGCAGCTCGTTCTCCAACGAGTTCGAATTCTTAGCGTCTTCAAACTGCCAAGGTGTCTACCTGGTGATGCCGCCTCCCGACAGCCGAGCTAGTGCGAAAAATGGTTTCTGTGCACGCTTGCACATAGGTACCCAATGGTACGCAATGTTAAACGTAGGTACATTGATCAATGTATACATTGTATGATTTCTAAGCTAAGACTTAGCCATTTGATATGTAACACTTGCATCTGCTACTCACATGGTTTTCGGATCAAATGGTTTTCGGATAATTTGATTGTGTATATTGTAGACGGACCTGCACACAGAAGGATAAAATTATATTCTTAAAGAGGTATCATGAGTGTCTTTTTGGGGCGTAGTTCCAATCCGGATAAACCCTGGTTTGCAGCAGACATGATTTGACTTGAGTCGGTTCGAACACATGCTTGCAGTATTTGTTTCAACATCAAGCGCATCGCACAGCGATTTGCTCCGCCCGCCGGATCCCTTAGGCAAGTGGGCTCGTGGGCGGATTTGAGTTTCAGCCTTCAACCCCAAGAAATTCGACACATCCTCCATGGCCCATGGCCAGGTGCTTTGAGGTGCTCAAGATGGGCAACTCTTGCTGCATGGGAGAGGACTGTTGTTTTTGCTTCAACTTTCACAGATTCACAGTTGTTTTCACCATCTCAAAGACCGGCATTCTTGTTGATGACAGGGGAGCGCTCCAGGTACATCTTCAATGCTAGACAGATATTGCATGAGAAGACAATGACAGATATTGCATAAGAACATGTGCAGCGATAAAAGTTTCGAACAGTTTTTTCCTTCGTCTCAATTACCTGCACTACGAAAATCATTTGGAATCATCTCGTGTTAAAACTTGGAGGAGAACGAGAGCGAAACAGAGGCTGGGAGGACTATTACTGATACTGTACCTGTGGTAACTGATACAGCTCCAAAACATTGTGGTATCAACGTGTATCAACTGGTTTCGAGCACCGTGTTGCCTGGCTCACCTTCGTGACTCAGTTCGTGGAGCCGCGGCCTTCAAAGAAGGTCCAGGTCGGGGGACCCGTTGGGACCCGCTAGGACCGGACCCACGGCGACCGACAGGGGACCCAGGTGAGCTGTTCTGGGTGGAGAGAGCTGTTCTGCCAAGGGTCCTCAGATGCATGTGCCGTCACCAGTTGGGAATCCCAGCTGTTTCGAAAACAGATGTGACATGATGTGACAACCGTTCGAGCGTTGTAGAACATGTCAGCACTAAGTGCGATGGCTGAGAGTCTTAGAGTGTGAAAGCTGAAGATGGTGGTTACTATAGGGGTTCTGATGGATCCTTGTAGCCGTGAGGTTGCACACCGCCAGACACAGCAGGGCGGAGGCCAAGGACTGAGTGACGGTTCCATTGTGGGGGTCCGCTGTGTGATGTGGATGCATAGCGTATAGCAACTGCCAGATTGTTGACAGGTTGACAAGCAGTTCGTTGATGTTTTGCCTCCAGCAAGAGAAAGCGCATACGACAACCGATGTTCGCAAGGCAAAAATCATTTTGTCCAGTCGACCGGCTCCTCTGCCGGATTTCCTCCAGGCCTAGGGTCCGACCTGAATCAAATGATCAGTCAACCACTGAGTCAACCACCATCAACGATGCAGTTTTCTCTCCCCAAGGTTGAAGATAATTGCCTGGAGTCTCCGAAAAGCTTTTCTGCAGTGGAACAGATCAGTTTCAGAAAGAAATCTGCCACACTCAAAGGGCGGCAACTGCCCCTTGACCTTCAGGCAGTGCTGCCTTTGGACCTCTGTGCCTTGGAAAAACAACATGATTCTATAGTGTTCTACTGTCCTGTGTTCTACAGTGTTCTACAGTGGTTCTACACAAAATCTTGGAAACCGCCGCTCAGGACAGTTCGTGGGCAGGTCCTCATGCAAGGTTCGAGTGGGCCAGGGCTTTGTCACAAACACCACCTCGCATAAAAGTCATGAGGTTGATGTCAGATTTGATGCCTTGTGACTAAATCCCTCTAACTCATGTACATGAGCATTCATGAGCTTTCCAGAGTCAGGGTTGATTTATGCTGATCTTCTTTTGATGCCATGATACCTTGTCAGGGTCGTTTCATGGTGTCCGTGGAGATATTGTGCCCGGCATAGGCCTCATTTTTTTTAATGCACGTGTACAATTTATAGCATTCAGCTCCAGATTCAAGACATGAGCAGCCTTGCTGTTCGAGTTTTTCAAGTCGTCTTGCTATGTTTTTTTTGTATGGCAAAATCTCAGCTGAAAAGCAACGACCAGGGCAAGCGATGTTCATTGCAAGCATTGACGTATTGCCCCATGACCATCCAAGGCGCCCTCAGCCAGTACGACATGGACATGTTGGATGCGAGAACAGAGGCCAGGGCAAAAGCTCACTTTCAGAATCCAACGGGCAGCTCTGCCGAAAATAAGTCAAATCTCTGTCCCAGTAGATTGATGTCCATAAGAAATCAATTCCTTTGTGATTCAATGTGATTCATATTTATTTTATTCCTGACTAACTTTTTTCATCGATTTGCTGGAAGCTTTGCCGTTGTCAAAATCATGCCTTTTTTTCCGACTGGCTTGCTGATTAATAGAAGATATAGCGGGGTGACGCGGAACCGGAAACTTCATTTCCATGCCTAGTAAACTCCTAGCAAATTGTACCAAACAGATCCAAGCAGGTTTGCCTGCCTTTCCAAAAGATACTTCCACGGTGAGCGAGCGATGCTCGAAATACCGATTGGTAGTAGTAGTATGTAACAAGAATCGTATACTGAATTATACTTGTACCATCTTGTACCTAATCATATAGGGATGTTGTGACCCATGGGAACCCTTTGGAACCTTCATAAACCAGTAAGATCCAGCCTTTGCTGAATCTGGTGACTGGTGCGACTGGTGCAGGCGTTGCTTGAGCAGACTGGTGCCACTCTCAAGGCGTCCGAGAAATTTGTGGCGTCTCGGCGCAATTCGGTTTGGTGATGGTTTTTCTCAGCCAGGGATGCCCAAATTCCGTATTTCTGATTGCGGAAGAGCTGTCCACTGCAAGGAATGGGCCGAGATGCAGAGGAGTGGAGGCCAAGAAGGGTGTCTCTGCTTGGAACTTGTGATTTCTGTGCAAATCTGAGTGGTTTGGAGTTCTGCATTACCCTCATTGAGAGGCAGCAGCTCAGAAAATGATGGGGTCTTTCAGGCAATCCGTGAGAAATTGGGTCTTTGGATTTGCTCAGTTTGCTCTAGGTTTTCTGAGGGCACAACACAGCAAGCACAGGTGTTTTATTCTCACATATGGCATCAGACATGTTCAAACAAGTCTTTTGGATTCTAGCCATGCAGCGATCTGCAGAATGTTGGAGTCTTGGCTGCGAGCCAGGTCGACCACAAGAGGTTGGAACTTGAAGCTGCGATGGCGGACCTCAAGGCTGACAAACCTCTGTTTTTTTGTGCATTTTTTCGCCTAAGAACCAGAAACCCTGTTTGTGAAATCTGTGTTTTTTCTGAAGTGGAAGGGCTTGAGTGGGGGTGCTAAGCAAAAAAACGTGTGCAACCCGCGCCCCCGGTATACTGGACAATATGCACACGTGCAAGCACCACTGATGCTACAGTGAATGCTAAGCTGCTGAACTCATACACGCAGAAAATTTGCAAAGATGGCAACAGTTGGCAGAGCAATATCTCCACGCAGGAACAATCAAGGAAAAATTGCGCTCAATAGCCTGAATTCTGGAAACGACTTGTTGCTTCTTTGGAACTTATTGGCGCATCGGTAGCTCCACATCGGTACTGACTTGGCCAAGCAAACGAAAAAGATCTTGCAAACTGTCCTGTGAAAGAGATGAAAACTAGGCAAAACTGAAACGCAACATAAGAACTGCAGCATTTGGATACATTTGGACGGTTCAGCGCAAAAACATCATGTTTACGCGCACGGTCTTCTGTCCCCCGGGAAGTTTTGCAGGGCTTGTCCCTGGATCAACTTTTCGCACTTGTGCAACACGTGCAACACGTGCAACACAGGGCCATGCTTTGAATCAAAATGCATCGCCTGTCCACTGGGGCGATAAGCTGCCAGATCTTGGAAGAGATGCGCGACATTGGGCTTCTCGTGTACACCAAGAAGTGAAAAAGTGCCGGGTCTCGGGGTTTGCAGGGTGCGGCATGGTGCGGCTACTATTTGATTGGAGAGACGAGGTTCATTAAACTGACTTCTACTTTGGCCGGAAGAAAAGGTGTGAGAGGTAACCGTTCACTGCCAATGTTTATGCTGTTGAGCTTGTTGTGTTTAGTTGGTGGGAGCTCAAAGTGAGGTAAGCCTTGGGGCTTCCCCAAGATTGGAATGCCGAGGCTGGCTCCAAAGGTCATTCGAGTAGAGCACTGCGGTGGCGGCCATTGAACTAGTGATCATGGCTTGTTGGAAGCCTAGATGAGTCGCCTAGATGTGAGACATGCAGTCGACCAAAAAAATCATCGAGATGTTTTGAATCAATTTAGATGAACTTTCGTCCAACAGGATGGGGTCACATGAGACGCAATCCCATTATGTCCCAATTGTCCCCCCACTTTTTCTCCTACGTGGTACTGGCCTCTCACCTTTTGTGGTGATTTTGATTTTTCCCCAACAGCAGAATGCTTTGGGGTCTTCAGCCATAGTAAAGGTTTCGGAGCAGACCGGAGCAGCTCCAAAACCGATTCCCCCAAGGTTCCCAGGTTCCAAGTAAAGGTTCCCAAGTAAAGGTTCCCCCACTCGCCCTACTCGCCCCACTCGCCCTACTCGCCCGACTCGCCCCACTCGCCCGACTCGCCCCACTCCCCCCACTCGACGCACTTGCTGCGGAGGTAAGCAGAGCAAGTGCAAGCGGGGCAAGCGGGGCAAGCGGGGCAAGCAGGGCAAGCGGGGCAAGCGGGGCAAGCGGGGCAAGGGGGGCAAGCGGGGCAAGCGGGGCAAGCGGGGCAAGCGGGGCAAGCGGGGCAAGCGGGGCAGTCGGTCTGGATTGTTTGAATACGGGCTGACGCGCATGTCGTGAGAACGGCTTCTCAATGCTTCTTGTTGTCGGTACCCTCTGTACCCTTCTTTGGATTGAAGATTGTTCTTTCTGGAATCTTCAATCCACATGCAACCCAAGGATTGCAACGTTGTATGAAAGTATATAATTCGATAGATGGATGGATCGAAAGATAGATAGCTAGATAGATTGGTAGATAGATAGGTAGATAGGCAGATAGGTGAACAGATAGCTAGGTAGATAGATATGTAGATGAACGGAAAGGATGGATGGATGGACAGTATGTGTGGATGGATAGGATGGATGGACGGACGGACGGATGGAATGGAATGGAATGGGTAGACGCCCACCTGATAAACGATAATAGTCAAAATTACTTTCCTCGAGTGGCCCCGGTCAACTGGCATTCTAGTTGACATATATATATATAGATTCTATCGGGCATTCTTTCTGGCATTCCATCTGCTATATATTTTGAGATTGTTTCTGATTATTTTGATAGTCTCTCTGGCATTCTATCTGATATTCTATCTGGCATTCTGTCTGAGATTTCATCTGACATACTGCCTGACATTCTATCTGGCATTTTTTATGGGAGTCTATGTGGCATACATTCTGACATCCTATCTGGCATTCTTGCGGGTCTGTGTGTTTCCAGATGCATGCTTCCCAATGTGACTGAACTTGCAAACATTGGCTCTATCTGGTGGTGCCACTTGCCACTGTCAAGATTAGCGGCCCTTGGCTTACCTGTGCTCTCTGAGCCGGGCTGCGGAGGATGATAGTTCTGACTGTTCAAACAGGCATATGGTTGTCAACTGTTGGGTAACAAGTGTACATTAAACGCATAGTAAATAGATCTATTTGAGTTGCCTGCTTCAGAATTAGTCCACTTTGAGCTTCGGTGTGCCAATAGGATTTCCACTTGGCGGAAGATTATTGATGTCTGGCGTAAGCGGTGTGCCATGCGGCTGGCGCAAGTTCTAGTAAATCGCGCAGGATCGCGCCGGGGCTCGTATGTTAAATTACCAGGGGGTAAGTCCAAATATCCTGAAAATGGCATGCTGTCCCAGTGTTGCTTGTGGTTTGGGCGACGAATTAACTTTCTGGGCATTTCCGGTCGATCTGCGGCAGCTGTCTTCAGCTTACTGTAAGATTTCTTCTATCCAGATGAATCCCTCATTTTCGGACAAACTGGATTTGGAATATAGTTGGTCAGTTCCAATTAAAATCCACTTCATGATCAAATCCCCATAATATTTTCCGTGGTGGAAACCCCATGGTCCGATCTCTTGAAAGTTTTTGTGTCTCAAGCTCACTCACTTGCCGGGCCGGACGCTGTGTGAACAGATGTCGTGCCTGTGTTTCTTGAACCAACGCCTTCAGCAGTGCGGTGGATTTTGGGTCCATGTGAAACTGATCGCTGGTTTCATTCGCATTTTTTTTGGCACCCTGCGAAGTGGGATGATGTTTTTTTTTGTCCCTATAAAGTTTTGGGTAATGGGATTACCCCTCCAGTGGTCAAACATGGCAACAAACAAACACCCGTTGATAGTTGAGTTTCCTCAATTTTTTTGAGGATTACCTCACAATATTTTTTGCCCATCCCAAAAGCTGGGGATTTTTCGAAAAATCTAAGGGGTCAGGAGGGAACAGTTGGGAGCCCATGGGGATCCGTATTCCCGTGTTCCCTGTTGAATGGTGAGAAAAAGGAACTACCAACCACATGTGCACTCATGTGCCATGGTCAAATGGTCAAAATATGGATTTTAGCCCGTGGGCATTAGTCTGATAACCCAATCTCCGCAGCGATGAGCAACCCGAGGTATCAACCGTCGGCAAAATATTTTTTAATCTTGCGACACTACAATTATGTGCTGATTCTCCACAGCTGTGTTGATTTTGATACATCAATCCTGTTTTTTTTGATAGATTCTGACCCCAAGTCAGTACTGTAGCACCAATCAGCTGGACGAACCCCCTCAGGAAACGTGAAAGCAGCGATGAGCCTTGGGGCCTACAGACCTTGCATTCCGATCAAGCAGATGGGCTGGTGATCAAGCGAGTGCTCGACACGGGGGCCATAGCTAAGTGGAACTGGACCACCTGGCTTTGCTTAAAGTGGCGGGAATCAAACGTGGCAATGGAAAAAAAAAACAATATTTTTTCTTGGAAAATAGCCTATAAATGGAACACTTCCCATTGCCACGTTTGATTGCGGAAGGGTATCTAGAATGTCTGGAAACCTGGACATGATGGAGGCAACATCATCGAACTAACCTCCTGGTTGCACACTTTTCGGCATCTTTCGTGGGACTACTATGATGTGGTAAACCATGTAAATCCAAAAATGAAGCATCACTTTGGGTTTATGAAATTGGGTATGCCCCCTAGCAATGGGTTCATTGGGTTTACCACCTTAGTCGGCCAATGGATTTTGAAGGGGAACTTTTCGGGAACCCCACGCAAGTAATTAATGGAATTTTCCTGTGATGTTTTCCCCTAGATCAAGTGATTAAGCGCATTTTTTTGGTTTCCAATGGGAGATCCACCAGATGGGGGGACATCTAATCTTGGTAAAGCAATAGGATCCACCATCCTCAAATGTACACTTTTTATGGGTGGGATTCCAACCACCAATCAATATGGGTGATGAACATGACATTGCCGCAAACTCACATCGGGACAAGTTGCCTGAGATCAAAGCCAGGACAAATCCCGAAGATCAGGTGGCGTGTCATCACGCCATTGTCAGCGTCAATGGTCGCACCAATATCCAGGAGAAGATCTTTGGATTCGATCGAAAATGGCGGGCCATGAAATCTTGCTGTTCTGTTGTTTTTCTTTTTTGATGTGTGTTTTTTTGGGGGGGTCGGTTGGATAAACATTGAACCCCCATGAAACCCACCATAAAACTAAACACCAGGTAAAACATGCTATTTTCAGGTCCATAAAGTCACCATCCCCAACAAAACAGCGTTGTCGACTTTGCAACCGGGGGCCACTCAGGATGGACGAACTCCGTTACGCAAAAACCTTGAAGATGGAGGTCTCTTTGAGATTGTCCCGCGAGGACAGGGTCCTTGGCAACAGGAACCGAGTCATGGGAGGTTCCTACCATATGTTGGGGGGCCTATTTTCGCGGGCTAGTTTTGAAGGGATATTTTTTTTCTCCCACTTCTATGTTTTTTTTGGTGATACTAACGTGCCTCCAGTGGATCGGTACGTGGAAAAAATGGTCATTTCCATTTTTGAAGCGCAGAGTTTCAGGAACGAATGATGACTAACATTGCGGTCACTATATCATAACACAGAGGAGTTATAAAAGTTTGGAGGGCCATTTTTTTGGGAAATTATTGTTTTTCTGTTTTGTTTTTTGTTGATTTCTGTTTCCCTACTTGGTTGCCTTTTTGCTTTTCTGCTTTTACCTGCTGCTTTTATGCCACTTTGCTTCTTTGCTTCTCCACTGTTCTGCTTTTCTGCTTCTTTGCTTGTTGCTTTTCTTCTTTTCCCTTCTTCTCTGCTTCTCTGCCTTTCTGCTTCTTTGCTTCTCTGCTTTTTCCTGCTTTGTTGCTTCTCAAGCCGAAATAAACCCCAAGACGCAAACTATAAATACGCCCTAAACTAACTTTAAATCAAACCCAAACCAACCCCCAAAAAAGTAAAGCAACTGTATGTAACTAAAATGTGAGACTTACTTCAAATAAACCTTAAATCAACACCAAACTAACACCAAAAATAAGCCCAAAGAGTATCCCTAACAGCCAGAAACAAAAACAGTTGCCAAACACGCAATGAGTGAAGTATGTTTATTGCCCCGCCCTTCTTACTCTAGAGGTCGGGCGTGCAAGGCGCAATCACAGCACAAACACTTTATGAAAAAACGCTTTTCCAAACGCGTTTGCAATACTGTGGCCAATATTCCCGGAGCTCGTGCGAAGGGTCTTTTCCCAAAGAACTGCTGTCCGCCTCACTCTTCACTTCATCTGCCTAACATACATCATCCACATCTCTTATGTCCTTTACATCACCTACATCTTCTATACCATCTTCTACACCATCTTCTCTAGATCTACATCTACATCTACACCATCATCATCATCATCATCATCATCATCATCATCATATTCATCATCACCATCATCATCATCACCTACACCTGTCTCACCTACACTACCTACACCACCTACACATTTTCCCATCAACCTCATCTATATGACATGCTTTATCTACAACACATACATTACCTACATCATCATCATCTACATCACTACATCACTACATCCTCTACATCACCCACATTACCTACATTGCATCTTCTGCACCATCTTCCCTACATCATCATCATCATCATCGTCATCATCATCATCATCACCATCATCATCATCATCGCCATCATCATCATCATCATCATCATCTTCTTCATCTATCTCACCTACACCGTCTACATCACCTACACAATCTTTTTCCATCAACCTCATCTACATGACATACATCATCTACAACGCATACATGGCCTACATCATCATCTGTATCACTGCATCCTCTACATCACCTACATCTTCAAACTTATCTAACCTTAGAACACTTACAACATCATCCTCATCATCTACAACATAGACAACATCACCTACATCAGCTACAGGTGATCAACTTCTAGGGAACTCCTACAAAACTTGAAAAATGTCATTTACACAGGAGTTGACTTGCAGGAGATCCACTTCTACTTGAACTCCTACAAGACTCCTGCCTGCAAGGTCATTTGCGCAGAACTTGTGGGAGTTGCTACACAGGAGTTCAGCTAACTTCCAGGTGATCAAGTTGTATCTGAACTCCTGCAAAATCAGACTTCTCCAGTTCTTCTATTTCTCTCTGGCGGCAGGGACAGCCAGGCGGTGGCTTACGAAACGTTACCCTCTGCGGCGTGTCGGACACCCAAACGTGTGGCGAAATGCGGGTCTTGTTTGTCCTTGGGCAACCCTCTGCGGAGATCGTGCGTGTCGGATGGGCAAACATGTGGTGTGGTGAAATGCGGAACTTCTTTGCCCGCGCAGCCGTCTGCGGAGATCGTGCGTTTCGAACGCCCAAGCATGTGGTGGAATGTGAATGTCTTTTGGGCACGGGCAGCCCTCTGCAGAGATCGCGCGGGTCGGACATCCAAACATGTGGCAAAATGCAAATTTGGTGGGACCCGGCGCAGCCCCTTCGCACGAAATGAGGGTCAACCGTCAAAAACCGGTGTAAAATTGTGATTTTGAAAGTTCAGATGCAAGCGTGGCATGAAAGTCAAACGGCAATAACTGTGCGAAACTATGGAAAACTGTGATTTTTTAACGTCAGATGCAAACGTTCAAGAATTGGTGTAAAATTGCGACTTTATCCATTTTGAAACGTCAGGCACAGCCGTTTCGCGCGAAATAAAACTTGTGTAAAATTGCGATTTTACAAGGTCAGGCGCAACCCTTTCACGCAAAATGATTGTCCAACGTCAAAATTTGCGATTTTCCAACGCCGGATGCAACCCTTTCGCACGATATGATGGCCGAACGTCAAAAACTTACGTAAAATTGTGATTTTTTGAAGTGTGTAAAAGCTGCTCTGTGGATTCGGTTTTATGGGAAAGCGTCTGTGTTTTGCTTGGGAACCTCTTCCTGGGAACCCGGTTCCCAACCTTGCGCCGTGCTGATTTGGCTGCTCCGACCTGCTCCGGAACCTTTACTAAGGCTGAAGACCCCAAGCTTACGCTGTTGGGGAAAAAACAAAAGCAACCCTACGGAACCCCTAAACAAACCCCAAATCTGAAACTTACCCTGTATAAACTGTAAACCAGCCCTGAATCCAAATATATTTCAAACAAAACCTAAACAAACCCCGAGCCAACCCGAACTAAAACCAAAACCAACTTTAAATATATTCTACATCAATCTTAAACCACGCCTAAAGAAACCCTAAACCAACCCTAAACCAGCTCGACATAGATCCGACACCAACCCTAAATAAGCCCCAAACCAACCCACCATAAAAATAACAAACCGTTAAAAAACAAAACCAACCCTGAACCAATCCTAAATAAACCCTAACACAAACCGAAACACACCTTACATGAACCTTCATCGCAAAATACCATCCAACATGAAAAGTTTGAGCACCAAAATGTTGCAAATGCCATGGAAAATGAACGGTTTGAATTCCAAAATGTTGTAATTCCGTTGAAATGGCAGCTTCCAGCTCCAAAATGCTGCAACTTGCAAGCAAAACGGACAGAACAGCAGATCCAAAGAAAAATCCAAAACGGGAAAACAATAATTCCCAAAACAATTCCGGACCCGTTATATAACTTCACTATATGGATAACTATAGCATACTATAGTTACCGCAAGTATATGAATTGGAATTCATTGGGATGGTTTGTTGGAAGATTTAACTATCCGGTGGGAGAGAGCTAAGGAGCTGTGGGCATCCGTCTTCCCCCAAACATGGGGAGGCACGGAGCTACAAATTGAGTTTCCCACATGATAGTTGAGGCCAAAACTCTAGTTCGCACAGACACTTCCTCCTTTTTCAGAACAATCAAGCGTTTCTTTTCGCCGAGGCAAATACCTACAGGATGGTACCCTGCAAGTTATAAGTTGCTTTATAATCCCATTAACTATAGTTCTATCCCCCATAAACCATAGTTATTGGAGTTATGTTCACCAACTTAGCTAACAAACTGGGTCACAAACCAGGAGACAATGCTGGCACGCCGGCATTATCAATTCAAGGATAAGTTCCGGGAGCGCCTGGTGAAAGTCGACGCCGCTCTGAAGGAGCCGCCGTGAAGTTCAGCGGGTGAAGCTCTGAAATCATCCATGAATGGGGACCAGGGAGAAGTGGATGAACGCTCAGAAGAACGTACTCTCCAAATGATTGGAGGGTTGGAAATACCAACTGACTCAGTAGAATGCAAGTCCCATAATTTAAGGTGGTTAAATGGTGTTAAATGCTTACATGCCAAACATATCTACATATGACAGGCCATTTGCATGGCGTTTGGGTCCTTGGTACTGTACTTTCGTTGTAGGTACTTGCAATTGGCTTTGCGCTGAACCGAAGAAAACACTTCAATGGATTTGACGGGGAAATCGAAACCATGGAATTTACCTTAATAATGGTGAGGGTTTCTGCAGATTTTGCTTGACACTTCTGGGATCTTTTTTTTTGGATCCCCTTTTTATCAAACAACCAGCCAGAAGGACATGGGTGAAGCGTCTGACTCACCTGACGGCTGTCCGGTGTGCTTAGATGACCTGGGACAAGAAGTGCTTCGGCTTCCCTGTGGCCACCGTTTCCATCGAAGCTTGGAGGTTTCGGAAAAGATTTAGAGCTGGAGAATCTACTGGGAAATTTTTTGGGGTTTCCAAAAATGAGGGTACCCCTGAATCATCCATTTGTAGATGGATTTTCCACGAGATAAACCATGGTCTCCTCACCCTCCGGAAAATCAGCTCCACTTCGATGATCTCCCCCGAAGTAAGCCTCCGTGGCCAGCTTTGGGCATGTCCCAGGCAGCCATGTTTGATGACACCGGAGGGTAAGAAAACCCGGGTTATTGAATCCCATTAAATCCCATTCAATCCAACGAGATAGTTATGGTTGGTCTATCCTACATGAATATAAATAAACAGATGAACCAATAGATATATAATTATATAATGATAAAACAAAAATAAATCGATCAAAACAAATATATAGAATATGTTTAAAGGTCAGTATATCCCCATGAAATCCCATGAGCTCCAAAAATCTCTGGGTCTCTGCACGGTCTCCCTTCAGCGGCTTCGCAAATCCAAAAAAGGAAGTTGTATCTCCAAATGGCTTGCGGGGCCCGTATCTCCAACTTGCCCCTCCTGCAAGCAGCAGCTGACGATTCCGGGCCTCGACAACGACCGTCATGTTGACACGAGCCAGGTACAGGTGACAAACATGTAAGAAACAGCCTCTGGTAATCTATGGAAAAAAACTTGAGGATTTCATGGAACAATGCTGGTTTAACATGGTTTAACCACCAAGAAATGAAGAATTTCATGAATTCCCATGGGATATATATAGCCTCCTGCAACAAACAGTTTGCGAACTGGAAAATCACCATTTTCAATAGGTAGATCATCGAACTAGATACTACACATATCCATGAATGGTGTATTTTTGCTTTTCCATGGCTAAATTATGCTAAATTACCAGAGGGTAAGTGCGGAGTGAGGACTTGGTCGGGTCTGATTGGTAGCTTCGAATATGGAGCTATGGAACCCACCAAGCAGAGGCTTTTCTTCGTTTTTGTAGGCCGTGCAGCGAGACATGGCTTGACTGCGCTCGAGGTGTTTGCACCAAATTCATGAGTGCTTGCGGATCTGTCAGTTCCGACCGTGTAATCCAGCAATTTACTGGTTGGTTGATTTATTTTCAAAGTTGTTTTGCATGTTTTGCTGTTTGTCCCCTCAGGGCATCCCCGACATCGACCAACCAGCCTGGATCACAGGGGCAGGTAGAGACCGAATCGGTCTCTGGCAATGATTCCTCAGGGCGCTTTTTTTTGGGGTTTGATCTTTAGACAGAGTAGGATGTTGTGGAGGCAAATAAGGTACCTTAAGGTCGGAAACTACTTGTATCTACTTGTCCTACTTACAAGTAGATTATAAGTTAGCACTAACATGGTTTTACTTAGTTCTACTTATAAGTTACTTATAAATTACTTGTGTTTACTTAATTTTAAATGGATTTTGAAACTGCTGCTTAAGTTAACATAAGTAGACATTAACTAGGTTGAGTAACTTCAAGTTACTTTAAGTAGGACAAGTAGTTTCCGACCTATAGGTACAATTGGTTTTGACATTTTTGACGCATCCCCTTATCAGTTTTTTTGGTTGTATTGTTGCTGCTGATTTCATTGCTTTGGTTCAAAGTAATGCAAAAATGGGGCCTCTGCAACGTCCCCTTTTGCAATCGTTTGCATTCACAAATGCAACCTTGTCAATTTTTTGGGCAAGGGCGTGGGTTGCCCATTTTGGTGTGCCATCTTCGCAAATGGCCATGACTTTGTTGTCGATCATGTCGACAGTCATAGCCATAGCCATCCATAGCCATCCATAGCCATAGTGACATAGTGGACATGGCCCAGAAAGCGGTTGGGGAGGTATCCTGTATATAGCAGTAGCATAGGGAGTGGTCAATGGTGGTTGGAGATATTCGAACAATACAAACATCAGTGCTACTTACGTGGATGGGGTTCAAAAAAGTGCGATTCATTACAAACTTATGTTTGGTTGGTTGCTACATTGCTACATCATGCCATGGATTCCATGACCAAAATTCCCACCAGGGTCAAGATGTTTTTCCCTTGAGCCATGTGGCCAGTTGAAGGAGAAACCTTGGTGGCTAGAGAGGGCAAAAAAGCAGGGGATGTACCCTAGCCCTAGACCAATGGAAATCAAGGTGGCGCCCCCCGAGTTATCTCATCTTTTAGTTGGCTTATATCCTAGTATAAGCCCCATTGACTATAGTTAGAACCGTTGGAACTACAATCAACCATAGTTATTCTAGTTATAACATTTTACGTTCACCAACTTAGCTAAGGATTAGGGGCACCACCTTAACAACCAATTCGATGTGACGGGCCGCGTCGAGCATTCCTAGAACCATCAAGACATGTGATTTTCATGGGAATTCATGGGGCGAAAAGAGCCTCGCAAGTAACCCAGCAGTTTGCAATGGAAAGCAATCATCTTTAATAGTCACAATCTAATACTTAAATGGTACCCTCCCAATTAAACAGCCTAGGAGTTTATTAATCCAGGGTTGACTTTAATAGGTAAATCACCAAATGAAACGGGTCATTTTCCCATGTTGATGTACTGGAGGGTAGGTTGAAACTTGGCCTGGAAATCAGTTGGACGAAACATCATCAAACTAACATCCGTTTCTGGACAACTTTCTGATCTTTTTGGAGGTTACCATTTGGTATAAGATGTACCATCTGGATATTTAACATAGCTATGGAAAATCCACTATAAATGGAGGTTTTAATGGTAAAATCAAATCATCTGTAAATGGGCAATTTTCCATAGCTATGTTAAATAACCAGAGTGTATATGATAAAGACTTATGGCCATGTCCAAAGCCCGTACTTCTGGTGAACCCCAAACTTATCCAGATACGTGGATGTTGCCATGATAAACTCAGTGGTTAGTCATTGGGTTACAACTCCTTATGCCTGCGATATGTTGGAACATACTCCCAGTTACTATGCGCTGAGCTATGTCATTGGAAAGTATGATGCGCCAATATAAATTGCATGGCATGATGGTTAACTCCAATATATTAACTAAATATTAAGTAACAAACTATACTTAGCTTTGCGTATACACACATATATGTATATATTATAAATATGTAGAAATAGAGTACACCAACTATATATTCCATCTGCCCTCCGGTACTCAAACATGGTAATTGAAACTATACATGGAAGTTTATCGCTGGGACAATCACCTAGAAATGATGGACATTTAAGCCAGCCGCGTTTGACGACACCGGATGGTATACTAATAAGTTTAAATACCTCATTCTCCCAATATATCAATCATTATGATCCATTAGTAACTACCAGTAGTACCGCACAAGGCGGTGGCGGAAGTTTCAGAATAGGAAACCTATAGGAGAGCTTGGTTGTTGTGAATCCCAGATGGCAGAGCGAATCCACTGATGGACCCAAAGGTGGTTGGAGTCGTGTTTTTTGGAGTGCTTACAACGGTTGCAGTGGTCACCTGTGGTGTAGTGCAGCTGCAGTTGTAGTTGTAGTGTAGTGGAGTTGTAGTTATGGTGGTGTAATGAGTGTAGTGTAATGTAATGTAGGGTAGCGTAGTGTAGTGTTATGTAGTGTAGTTGTAGTTGTAGTTGTAGTTCGTGTAGTGTAGTGTACTGTAGTGTAATGTAATGTAATTGGGGCAGTGTAGTGCAGTGTAATGTTGTAGCTGTAGTCGTAGTTGTAGTTAGTGTAGTGTAGTGTAGCCTAATGTAATGTAATTAGTGTAGTGTCATGTAATGAAATTAGTGTAGTGTAATGTAGTGTAGTTGTAGTTGTAGTGGTAGTTGTAGCTGTAAGTGTAGTTGTAGTGTAGTGTAATTGAGTGTAGCGTAGTGTAGTGTAATTGAGTGTAGTGTGGTGAAGTGGAGTGTAGTTGTAGTCGTAGTTGTAGATAGTGTAGTGTAGTGTAGTTGCAGTCGTAGTTGTAGTTAGTGTGGTGAAGTGTAATGTAATTATATAGTAGTATAATGCAATGTAATGTGGTTATGGTGGTGGTTGTGGTTGTGGTTGTAGTTGTAGTTGTAGTGTAGTGGAGCGGAGCGGAGTGTAGTGGTGGTTGTAGTTGAAACTGCTTCAAAACCTTCACGTTTTGCTTACTTTTGGCAAGGTGCACAATTCCGTGCGCCTGCTATGCGAAACGACATCTGAACGTCCAAAAGGCCCGAGACCGTCAGTTATTAACTCTTTTGACTTCGAAATGTGCTTCGCGCCACAACGGCGTGCTTTTTTCCGACATCTCAACTTCCAAAAGTGGCGCGAACACCTGGTGTTTTGTACATTTTGACTTCGACATGTGCTTCGCACCACAACGGCGTACACTTTTTGAACGTCTCAACTTCCAAACGCGTTCCGACGCTGAGGTGTTTTGTACATTTTGACTTGGAAATGTGCTTCGCGCCACAACGTCGTGCACTTTTTGAACATCGCAACTTCCAAAAGTGTTCTGAGTGTGGTGTGTTTTGTACATTTTGACTTCGAAATGTGCTTCGCGCCACAACGGCGTGCACTTTTTGAACATCGCAACTTCCAAAAGTGCTCTGAACGTTGTGTGTTTTATACATTTTGACTTCCAAATATGCTTCGCGCCATGGCGGTGTGCACTTTTTCCACATCTCAACTTTAAAAGTGCTCCGAAGTTGAGGTGTTTTGTGCATTTTGAGTTCGAAATGTGCTTCGCGCCACAGCGGCGTGCAATTTTTCATCTCTCCTCTGGCCAGATGGCTCCGCACTCGCCTACTTTTCGACCCTCCGGAGCCACAAATCATTGGAAAAACAGAGTGTTTCGCGACTTTGCTACCTTCTCGCGCACCTGCATCTTCTGTCTTCTGACTCTTTCTCTTCTCTGATCTTCTTTCTTCTTCTCTTCTCTTCTCTTCTCTTCTCTGACTCTTCCCACCTCTGCTTTTTCATCTGTCCATATTGTCGGAAGTTTGACTTCTAAACTTCCTTCGGCTATTAACATCTATTATATAATTATTATAACCATGAATACCATCATATTATTAATGGAGAACAACCATAGTATGATGGTTGATGGTTAATCATCCAAAAAATCAACATAAACAACTTGATATATATATATATGTATAATATACATATGGATTTTGTGGGGACACCTATTGTTAACCATCAGTTATCCATTATCATCCTCATTAAGATCTCATATGATTGGTTAATATTATATGGGAAACCTATTATTATGTGAATCGATTATCCAGTATGATTGGATATTTACCATTAACTGGATTTCCCATATAAAATCCAATAAATATAGACATATTGTTATATCTAAGAAACTGCAAACTACCCCTAGAGAGCATACCCCTAGAACCACAAAAACATCCATTTTGCAGGGTTTTGAGAGCATTTGTCTTTGTTTGATGGTTTGTACAATCGGGTTGATGGGCAATGATACTGAACTCAAATCACTATTCGGGATTGTTTTTCAGCACAGAGTTCACAGGGGGTGCCCGGGCGCCGCCTCCTCATGTCTTACGTCTCACTCCAATCGACCCATGGCACAAGAAAATATGCATGTTCCAATTGTTGTTACATGACCAAATTTCTCTGGCCAACGATATATGTCTACCAACCGGCTTGTGGTGATTCTAAGTGAGGGTATGTGAAA